GAGATCTGTCAATATGGAAGGTTTGTCTGGTGAATGGGCTTGTCTCTTGCAGACGTTGGATGCTAACTCTCTGACATCTCTTTCTACTTCCTTCATAAACATGGTGATAAATACCGAACATTAATCCACCATCTCATAGAATGTCAAGGACATAAGCTCTACAGGGGATCATTGCCAGCTAACCTTAAGTCTGCCTCTACCTTCTTGCACATGTAGGACTGCTTTGGTAGACCCATTGTTTCAGCTTAGTCTTAGGCAACAGTGGGGCAGGGAGACAATGGTAATGTTGTCACTGGGCTAGCAACCCAGAGGACTAGTTTCTAGTTGAAAGCACTGGAAACATGGGTTAGAAACTCACCAGGACTAGGTGAAATCATAATTCAATCAAAAAAGCTGGACAACAAAGCATGATTCAGTAATGATGACCATGACATTTACCAGGCATGTAAAAACTCATCTGGTTCACTAATGTCCTTTAGAGAAGGCAATCTGTTATCCCTACTTGGTCTGATTCTTCAGCTTCCTCTGATATTGCTGAGCAAGTTACTCCATTCAAGGGCAACCAGGAATAGGCAACAAACATGGCCACAAAAGAGTTATCCTTCTGCCATAAAGGAATAATGAAAAAAAAATTCCTCCAAATAAAATGTATCACTTTTATGAGTCCTAGCCATGCCTGTAGGTGGAATGCTCTTTGTTCCAGCCTTATATAGTTTCTCCTTCACCCAGTTCCACCATATTCTCATTTTCCAGTGTCAATGTCACTTCTGGTTTTTCTCCTGAACTGAAAAGTTGATTTACACTGCTACTAATTTCTACGTCTCATGGATCATTTCCAAATCATCCCTTCTCCACTTTGACATCTCTTTCTTAATGTCCAGAAATAGGTGTGAATTAATATTCACTATCAGACCAGTGACTCTCACAATCCTTTGACTGTACTTTCCTCCACCCAGCTTACTGGAGGGAGTTTCTCTATTCTCCACGATCTGCTTCTCCATCGCATCTGTTCTGATAATGTCACCTCTCACACCAATGCTTTCCACATCTTTCTTTCAGCTCAACCAAGTGTTCCCCTTAACTATAGTTGATAAGGACCCTGCCAGTTCTATTTTCCCCACTTGCACTCTCACTCCTTCCCTTCCATACTAGAGACGAGATAAGGTTCCCCACCTTCCACACCATCAATCTCCATATTTAATGGATAATTCACTGCTTTTTCTACCAATTCCAATGCAGTATTACCCTGAATCCGTCTTTTCTGCCATTCCCTCTACAATGACTAGGTTTATTTTCAATGATCTTGAACAACCAAACCCCTTCTGATAATTTCCCCTGTAAGTGCATAAGATGTAACACCTGTCGTTTTACCTGCTCTCTTTCATCTATCCAGTGCCCCAAACACACTTTCTAGAGACCTGTGTACTCCTTTTAATTCAGTGCTCACAAATGAGGTCTCCTCTACATTTCTAAACCAACTGCAAAGTGATAACTGTTTTGCTGTACATCACATGTCAGTTCACAAATGTTACCATAAGCTATTTTAATTCCTCGCCCAGTCTGATCTCTCCTCCCTTGACCAACCACAATCTGAAGAAAGGAAACTACAAAAGTACAAGAGATAAGTGAGCTTCGGTAGATTGTGGAATTACACAAGGCATAATGGTATATAGGCAATGACTACCATTTAAAGAATTAATACAAGATGTATGATGAAGAACAAAGACACAAAAGGAAACTACAAAAGTACAAGGGATAAGTTAGCTTTGGTAGATTGTGACATTACACAAGGCATGATGTTACATAGGCAATGACTAGCATTTAAAGAATTAATACAGGGTGTATGATGAAGAACAAAGACACAAAAGGAAATGTGATCAATTATTGGTTAACAAGATAAATTAAAGACTGTATTAGATCAAAAGAAGAGGTTAATAAAGTTGCCAATAAATGTAGTGAGCCTGAGACCATAAGATGATTAGTCCATAAGATTTAGGAACAAGAGAAGGTAATTCAGCCCATCAAGCCTGCTGTGTCATTCAATGGGGTCATGGCTGATCTGATAAGGATTGAGACATTTTACAATTCAGCAAAGGATGGCCAGCAAAAAAATAAAAATTTTTATAATGCTGTAAAAGCTTACTGAGATTGTTTTAAAAAAGCAAAGACAACTGTGGACCTAATATAGGCACAGCCAGAAGAATTTATAATCAGAAATGAGAAGTTTGCAAAGAAACTAAATTAATTTGGGCTATCTTCATACAGAAAGTAAAGAAGATTTCTCAACAATACAGAGAATTAAAAATGAGGAACTGAAAGGAGTGAGTAAAAGAAATAGTATAGGAGAAAGTCATAGGACTGAAAATTGGTAAATTTCTAAGATTTGATGATCTGCAGATTGTTGAATGGGGCAACTGTAGAGATTATGGATAGTCATCTTCAAAAATTCTATTGATTCTGGAACAGGTTGAAAGGTTGCAACGGTAAAATGGATATGAGAATGTAAGGAGACTGAATCCCTCCTAGTTCTGCTCAGGTAGCTACTGTTCCACCTCGAACCTGTATACTGTATATGAAGCAAACACACTGTGCTGCCTAATGGCGAAAGTGGGATCCAAATGTGGCAGGCTTTCCTAAAGCAACAAAATGACCAAGTGATCAGCTTCCAAAACAAAATTTAGAAAAAAGCAACACTGAAACTGTTTCCATCAAACGTAATGGAAGTGAGACCTATATGGTTAACCAATGCCACTACTGGAAGACAGTGGCCTTTCTAATAGTGACATCACTGATATAGATATGTGCCAAAAGCAAATTGAACTTGTATTTATTTAGCATCTTTAACATCATAAAGAAATGGACAGTAGAAAATGAAAGTAAGCAAAAAGAAAACATGCTGTGAAAGCTTACCTGGATTTGTAAAAAGAGAAAATGACACAAAATGTCTTACATGAATGCTACGATAAAGAATTGACTCTGAACCACAATGGGAGATGTATAGTAGATGGCCAGCAAACAAAGAGATAAGTTTTAAAGAGTGCCTCAGATGAGGAAAGTGGTGGAATTTTAGAGATGGATTTTGGGAGAACTGATGTATGATGCATGGAGGATTCAACAACAGACCAGAATTACAGAGGGTCTCAGAAAGTTGTAGGGCTGGAGTAAATTACAGGGAAGGTGAGAACCTGGGAGGGTTTTGAAAACAAAGATGTCAATTTTAGAATTGAGGCTACCTGTTTGGAAGCCAGTACTGATCAGTGGGCACAGGGGTATCAGGAGAACAGGACATGGTGCACATTAGGACACAAGCAACAAAAACAAATGATATTTATACAGTACTTTTAATGCAATGAAATCTCCCAAAGACAGCAGAACTCGGGAATACTGAGGTAAGTTATAGAGTCACTGACACTGGGCCATTACTGCTATTAAGGTACAATAGGTATCCCATGTTTCTGGCACACAATCCCTCCTTGTCATGCATTCCACCCCAGCCCCCCACATAAACTGGACCTCAATACTTTATTGAAATATCCTGAGAACAGGTATTCCAATAAGCCAGATGTTCCTGGGGATGTTGAGTAGATTTTCTACCTTTCTGTGATTACAGTAGTGCTGGTGGTGGAAAGGCTGGGGGTGGTGTAGAGTGAATTCTCAGGATAATTATACTTTCCTAATAGTTACACTGTCAATTTTCCTGCCATAAAACTGGCACAGCTGTCATCTGGGAATCTTCTGGGAATAGCACCGTGTAGTCAAAACATTGAGCATTTGACAACTTCTGCTAAAGTAAATATACCAATCCAAAACTGAATGCAATGACCATCCAATTCAGAGGGTGATTTAGATTCCAGCCACCAGTTTATAGTGCGGCTAGTGACTAGGTCCATGAGGGAGCCCCAGAAGCTGTAGGTGTGTGAAGGAGTCTGCACCTTGTTGGTCAATCTCATCCTGGACCAGAAGAAATAAGACAGGAGTTGGCCATTCAGCCCACTATTTTGCCATTCAATAGGATCATGGCTGATCTGATATTCCTCACACCCACTTTCCTGTACCCTTTGATTTCCTGATTGATCAAGAATCTATCTATCTCAGTCTTAAATATACACAAGAACTCTGCCCCCACAGCTCTCTGTAGCAAGGAGGTCCAAAGACTCACAACCCTCTGAGAGAAGAAATTCATCCTCAGCTCAGTCTTAATTGGTACCTGTTTATTCTGAGACTATGCCCTCTGGTCCTAGACTCTCCCATGAAGGGAAATATCCCTTCAGTATTTACCCTGCCAAGCCTGTTAAGAACCTTATATGTTTCAACGTAATCATCTGTCATTCTTCCAAACTTCAATGAGTAGAGTCCCAGCCTGTTTAGTCTTTGCTCATAAGACAATCCGTCCGACCTAGGGATCATCCCATGGTCTAAATGAATCCAGACCAGGGTCAAGTGGCTGAACTGTCCCTCTCTCCTGACACCGCAATGATGAAGTCTGTTGAAACATAGTCCAGTGAGAGACAAGGGCAAGGTCAGGAAAATCGACAGGTTATTCGGAAAGGAAACAGTATCTAATTTTGGGTTTAGAATAAATTAGCGACAAACACAGAAAATGCTGGAGAAACTCAGCAGTTCTGGCAGCATCTGTGGAGAGAGGAACAGAGTTAATGTTTGGAGTTCAGGATGACTTCAGAACTGAAAGGTGCTGGAAAATAGGATTTTTTTTAATATACTTTTGACAGATGCTAATAAGCAACTTCACTTGGCAGCACACAGGCACCTACAAATGTCATTTGCATCAAAACTACATACAATAAAATTATTCAGCATTGTCCTCCGTTCATTCATACTGAAGGCTCCCAAAGACGTGGGGCGATAAGAACAGAAACTGCTGGAGAAACTCAGCAGGTCTAAGCAACATTTGTGGAGAGAGAAACAGAGTTAACGTTTTTGAGTCCAGGATGACTTCTTCAGAACCCAGTAAATGAACAGGACAGTGACTTGACTCTTACCACGATGGACGAAGGGGTCGGTCCTGTTGCCCTTTCCTGCTCCGTTGAAGATCACGACAGCTGCAGCCCCCCGTCTAAACCCATTCTCGATCTTCTTGGCGAAGGTGCAATTGCCCCTCTCCACGAGCGCTATCCAAGGGCTCTCGGTGGCGCTGAAATCGACGTTGTCATCGCAGGCCAAAGCGTCGTGCGAGTTCGGGACCCCCACCACACCTCTGGCCCCTTTGACCGGCGAGTTGGCACCGTAGATGCCATCCACGCTGGTGGTGAGCGTGCGGTTGGCGGCCGCTGAGAAACTGGTGACATTGACAATGGCTGTGGACATCGCCAACTCTACTTTGGCCGTCGCCTGGCACAGAACTGCCAACTGTAGCAACCACACCGTGTGTGGTCCATCACCCTCAGAGCCCTTCATCGTCCGCTCACACCACCACCACTCCCCCTACCCCTACTACCACCTCCCACCTCTCTCTCTCAAGCCAGACTCCGGTGTATTTGTAAATATTTATCTAAAAAAAACAGAAGTAAAAGAGAAACAAACATTGGAGTGTCAGGCCAGTGAGAGAGAGAGAGTTGTAATGATGGTGAGAGCTTTAACGCAGTAACTAATGTGTGTGTGTGTGTGCGTGTGCTACCCTCTGTCTCTCTGCTGTGTAAATGAGCCTTCCTACAACGCAATAGCCTTTAGCATTGTTTGCGAAGCGGCTGCTCGGAAGCAGTCACTCTAACTGATTGCTGACCCCCCCCCCGCCAACTTGAACTTCGATCCCAGTCCAAAGGTAGAGGAGATTTAGTTATTGGCTCAGCCAAGAACACACAGTTAGCCTCAGTCACTTAGATCCGTCTCCAGTGGAAGCTGCAATTTTACAACACAAGCCTGTTTTTGCAGTGTGTGTGTGTGTGTTTGGGGGGGGGGGGGGGGGAGGGTTTGTGTGTGCTGGAGCTTATAGTTATACCAACCCAGCTTCTCTTTCTTACAGAAGCTGCCGGACCTATTGAGTTTCTCCAGTAACTTTCTCTCTTTCGTTTCAGATTCCAGTTCTCTGGGTTTTTTTTGGGTTGGGGGGAGGCGTTAAAATTGTTGTATTTCCCGACAGGTGCCAGGGTCACAAAAGTTCGCAACTCCAAGCGAAACAAGTCCAGGCAACGCTTTCAGCTCTGCCTTCAGGCTGATGCTGTAACCCAATAAGTGTCACACAACACCCCTCTTCATCTGAACCTGGCCGCTGTGTTTCAAAGGATATTTATCATTCTGCAGACGGAGCGCTGCCAGGTGGAAATAAATACACACCGTGAATTTCACTATCACCCCAGCCCCCTCCATAACTACCCAGAGGCTATTTTTGTTTCTTTTCCTTCTCGGATCCAGACGCCAAAACACAAAACTGCAGAAATAAACCACCATTTCACTTCTTCCTCGTGTTATAAATAGAATTTGGTTTGCGAGACAGACAAAGGGGGAGAGAGAGAGAGAGCAAAAAAAAATCAGTCATCTCGGCTGAAATTGACTGCAAGTGTACTGGCCCGCGGATTTGTATCAGCAATAATGACCACGTTGACAGTTCAGAAATCCAGCCTCAAGTGGGAACCGAAATTTGTCCAATGTTGCCCTCGACTGGTCAACAATCGAGGATCCAATTGTGAACACATTTCACCCCAGTCCTCAAAAAACAAGGGCTTTTCAGCAGTGACTGAGGCGAATTTCCATTTCTATGCCTCACCCCCGTGGCTCAGTGATTTCTCAAACTACATCTTAAAGTTCCGTGGAATCCATACAGTGTGGAAGTAGGCCATTCGGCCCATCGAATTCACACTGACCCTCTGAACAGCATCCCATCCAAACCCACCCTGTTCCTGTATTTTCCATCCTAGACGCTATGGGCAATTCAGCATGGCCAATCCACCTAAACGTGCATATCTTTGGACTGTGGGAGGAAACTGGGGCACTCGGAGGAAACCCACACAGACACAGCGAGAATATACAAACTCCACACACAGACAGTCGCCCGAGGCTGGAATTGAACCCCTGTCCCTAGCGCTGTGAGGCAGCTAACCATTGGGCCACCGTGCCGCCCCAAAAAGTTCTCATCGGTTGTTCTAAGAGCTCAATGTGTTTAATGTGGAATAATATTCAACAAAGTAACCAGAGACGTGCCAGAGTTTGCTGAGGAATTGAAAGTTCATCAACAGTCTGGACCATAGAATCTTCACCGTCCACTTCATAATAGAATCAGAGAACAATAGAACACAGGAAGAGGCCATTCAGTCCATCATTTTGACCCTTGAAAGATGCATATGAAAGGACACACTCTTTGCCTCTAGGTCTGCAATCTTCAAGTGCAGGTATCTCCCATTCAAAGTGTGTTCTGTTAGCATGTTTTCGTTCAAGAAATAATGTTTTTCAAACAGCACTGCTTCCATTTTAATTTCATTATGATTATTGTGCGTGTAATTCTGGCATGCACCAAAAACCATTTGACAATGATATATGCTCAGCCTATTTATATTGTTGCTTTTGTCACCACTACTCATGATCTCCACACTCCCTCCCATTTGCCACTTCCCTCTCATAAATACCTCTCTCCCAATCGCCTCATTCCCTCCCACACACTGTTTCACTCACCATCTGATCACACTCCCTCACTACTTCCTGGTCAGTACCACCACCACCCACATCCCCCCCCCCCCCCCCCCCAACCACCAACTCTCACTGTAAGTAAAGGCACTGGAAAGAGGAGCTGAGGGGTAAGTGGGAAGGATAGGGCACCAAGCGGGAGGGAGCAATGAGAGGTGGCCAGAGGAGCAGTGTGTTGGAGTGAGGAAGGGGGTTAGTAGTGGGAAAGCATGAGCAGGAGGACTGGGGGAACGTGACAAAAGAAGCATCAAGTAGCAGGCAGTAAACTGTGACTGTGACTCAAGTAGAAAAAGTAGGAAGTTAGTAAGAACACTAAGTTACTAAAAGTAGTATGTTAGTTAGTAGAAAGATGAATCTTGGGCCAATTAGGTTTAAGGCAGCAATAAATTTTTATCGTAAAGACCAGGAATATAACCATTCTTATTCAAAGTTACAGAATTATTACTTCACAGAAAGAGGCCATTCAGCTCATTATCCCTGACCCAGTTCTATTCCCAAGGGCCAATCTCCTGGCTTTTCCCCATTTCCCTGCTCACCATTCCTATTCAAATAACCATCCAATGCCCTCTTGAATGTCTCCATTAAACCCACCTCCACTGCATTCTCAGCACACACCCTAACTACTTACTGAGTGCAGAAATGTTGTTTTTCTCACATCACCCTTACTTCATTAGCAAGGAGATAGAGGGCTTGGTGGCATAGTGTAATGGTGACAACCTCTCTCACAATGTCAGCAAAACTAAAGAACTGATCATTGAATTCAGAAAGAAGGGAGGAGAACATGCTCCCATCTGCATCAATGGAGCTCAGGTTGAGAGGGTGGAGAGTATTAAGTTACTAGGAGTGACAATAACAGACAACCTGTCCTGGACTTCCCACGTAGATGCGATGGCACAACAACACCTCTTCTTCTTCACACGGCTCAGGAAATTTGGTATGTTCATAAGGTCCCTCAGCAACGTTTACAGATGCACCATGGAAAGCATACTGTCTGGGTGCATACAGCCTGGTATGGCAACTGCTCTGCACAGGACCATAACAATCTACAGAAGGCCGTGTGCACAGCCCAGACCAGCATAGAAGCCAACTTTCCATCTATGGACTCCATTTACATGGCTCATTGCAGCGGATAGGCTGCCAACATCATCAAAGACCCATCGCACACTGGTAATGACTTCCTACAACCTCTGCTGTCAGGCAGAAGATACAGAAGCTTGAACACATGCACTAACAAGTTCAAGAACAGCTTCTTCCCTGCCATTAGGTGGAGGGGGATATTATAGAGAATTATAAAATTCTAGCAGGACTGGGTAGATGCAGGGAGGATGTTCCCAATGGTGGGTGTGTCCAGAAGTAGGGGTCACAGTCTGAGAATTCAGGGTAGACGATTTAGGACGGAGATGAGGATCATGTCTTCATCCAAAGAGAAGTAAGCCTGTGGAATTCATTACCAGAGGAAGTAGTTGATGCCAAAACATTGAATGTATTCAAGAGGCGGCTAGATATAGCACTTGGGGAAAATGGGATCAAAGGTTATGGGAGAAAGCAGGATTAGGCTCCTGAGTTGGACGATCAGCCATGATCATGAAGAATGGCTGAGCAGGCTCAAAGGGCTGAATGGCCTCCTCTTGCTCCTATCTTCTATGTTTCGATGTTATTGGACTATTGAATGGGCTCGCTAACTTCAAATAATGCTGATCTTGCTAATGTTGATCTTGCCCAGCACATGCCCTGTGTGATGTAACCTGTATGCCTCTGTCCAAGTCTTCTTTTCACCCCATGATCTGTATGTCCTTGCTTACTGTGATCTGCCTGTACTGCTTATACACAAAGCTTTTCACTGTACTTAGGTACACATGACAATAAATCAATCAATTAAGCATATCACTTTAAAACAAACCTCCTTGTAGAAAATGATTTTCGTTTAGAATGGTTTTGCTCGGCACAATGTTTTCAGGAACTCATTAGGAGCACTAATAAAAGAAAGCACTAATTACCCAATTCCCTTTACAGAAGGTGATTGTTGAATTTGGTTCCGCCACCTTTTCAGATATTCCAAATCTTAACGATTTGATGTATAAAATGTTTCTGCAAAAGAAAAACAAAACTGCTTCCAGGGTTTCATTGCCAATCAGTCCCTTTACCACAGGAAACAGTTTCTCCTTTTTCTACTGAATCAAAATTGTTGATAAAATAAAGCAACTCCATCAAATCTCCTCTTAACTTACCCAAGTTTGAGGAAAGCAATCTGCAGTGCTGGAAGGAATACTTACTTAATGACACAGATCTCAGAAGGAGATATGATGAAGAGAGATTGGACAGACTGGGGTTGTTTTTCTGAGAGCCGCAGAGAGTGAGATGTATAAAATTATGATGAGCGTAGAGAGGGTAGACAGGAAGGAACATTTCCCCTTGAAGGAGGAATCAATGACCGGGCTGAGGGGTGATATTGATTTAAGGAAAAGAGTAGGAAGTTTGGAGGAGATGTGAGGCAAATCTTTTCACCCAGACGGTGGTGGGAATCTGGAACTCATGGCCTATTGCAGAAGTAAAAACTCTTACAACATTTAAGAAATATTTGCATGTGCGCATGTGATTCCATAGGCCAAGTGATGGAAAATAGGATTAGATCAGTGAGGTTGCTATTTTTAACTAACAGGTACACAATGGGCCAAACAGTGGCTAGCTCATAACGATGATACTATAGTTGATGACAACATGGATTCCAATGTCAAGTTAAAGCACCAGCATTTAATCATGAAAAGTTTTGTAGTGTGCAATTAACTGTTAAAGTAGTGGCCTTACCCTAAGTTTCAACATAT